AAGTAGTATGCAAACCATCTTAGAGAAAAACAGCATAACATTAACACTTGAACATCTGGAGATAAAAGTTCACCGCTCTACACATTTCATGTTCTTTCTTCAGGTATTACATTGAAAATGTCTGTTTCAGGAAATCACTTAAAATTCAAAGCTTCTATTTTCTCTGTCATGTAATTAGATTTCAATCCTAACTCACAGGAGGTATATAGTGATAAAAAAAAAAGATCAGGAAAAAGAAAATAGAGTACTAGGCAACATGTAAGGGACTCCAAAATTGACAGTAGTACCAAATAACAGTAATACCGTTCCTACAGTCACAGTTGTTACAATCTCTACACTTCTGTGTCAAGAGGAAGAATGACAGGATAACTAATCCCATGTGCCATACGCAATCCTCATCAATGGCAGCCTTTTTTTTCGATTCTCAATGTTCGGATTTTCTAATGTCCTCATAAGCCCCACAGCCTGAAAAGCCTTCCGTGAGCAGCGCTCTCCCATCCTGGCAGCTGATGGTTCGGGTCGTCCTCCTTTCCCTCAGCTACGGTGTTTCTCCTCTCTGCTCTTAGATATCATTTTTAGTCTTGTACTTAAATAACTTCCCTGACACATCCTGTGCCTGAAGTAATTTCTCTGCTTTACTGTTCCCCATGGAGAACATTTCCATACTTTCATTTGTTGAGCTTTCACTGCCCACTCAAATACAGGTTGAGCAGGAGTTCATCGGGCATAATTTTCCTGTACCCTAATCCACTTTCTCTACATAAGTCCGACAATATTATGTTTCCTTTCAAAAACTGGTAGTAGCATGCAATCCTGATTTTTAAAATGTATGCCTCCCTCAAAGCTATCTCTGGAGCTTGTCACTTCCCTACTGTATCCCTACATCTAGAAATGGTGCTTGATAAACACTAAGAGGCTGGAGGCAGAGCTTCAGCACTTACCATCCTACAGCTGAATGTTTGGAAACGAGTAACATCATGCCCAAAAAAAGGATCATTAAGAAACAAAGTGGGACTACAGGAAACACTGGGGAATTTCAAATTAACACTGTGACTGAATAAAGAAACCATCGAAGATCTATCTAAAATCTTGAACTTCTTCTCAATAACATTTTCAAAATCTGTTCCCTTTTCATTTTTTATGCTTTTATCTTGAGTAATAAACTATCACCTGTTAGAATCAGCACATGGTAGGCACCTTATAATAAATATTTATAGACTTAAATTACTTTTGTCTGCCTTCAATTTAATGCTAGAAGCCTGAAGAAAAGATTTATAATATGCTCTGTCTGACAAAATGATCTTCTGGAAGACTTCTTATTATTGCCTTTCCTCTTTGGTAGAATCTTCTATTGGAGACTAGAAAATTAGAGTCGCCTGATTCATAGGTCTACATTATACATTAAGCCATCAAGTACTCACCTTTGAGATTTTTTTTAAATAAATTCTATCAAAACTTTAACATTTTGCTTCATATGCACATGGGAATACAACGTAAGCTTGACAATGCATGAATGTGGTATTATTTTGAATATTATAGTTTGAAATGTTTCCTACACATTGCTAAAGTATGTTATATAAAAGAACAGTGAAAATGAGGCTTATGTTACAAACAACATGAGGTGTGCATAATGGAAATCATTTTTAAATCCTCCATCAGGTTTTTCATTTCTCTGATGAGGAATTTGCACCTCACAAATTATACATACTACAAAATGCAACACTTAATTGACTTGCTGAAGCAACTTTACAAAGCAACTTAATATTTCGTCTTGCAAGGTCAGCATTGGTATTAGTATTTTTTCTTATAAGAAACTGATGGCAATTTCAAATACCATTTCACAGACATCATCATAGCCAATATGAACCACCATAATTTCCTCTGTCTCATTCCAACTGGAGAGTATTTTTCCAGCCACTTGCATTATTTTCAAGAAGACTAAAAGCATGCAACCATCCCAAAGAGTTAATTTTATGCACAACAAAGCTCTCTGGAATTATAGCCATTTTGAAATGACTCAACCAGAGATTTAACAGAAACATTTTTAAGTAGCAGAAATGTTGCTATGCATTCAACATGCAGCTATAAATACTCTATGAATATATTAACCAGTAAGTTAGCATATAACTGATATGAGAATCACACATAGCACATATTTCCTTTGACAAGAAATAATTAAAACACAAATAGAATACCCTTTCAGTGAATTTTGTAACAGATCCAGTTTTATAATGGAGAATATTCCTAATGGAACTCAATAAACTCTGCACATTGCTGTGATGACTGCTTGATACTGATAGTACAGAAATGGAAAACAGGTCTTTCCTATTCATAATGACATTCGAATCTTCTAAAGGAGATAAATACAATTTTGATATAAATACTTCCACACCTCAGCCACTCCTAACTCTAGGGTATCATTGTCTCATGCTTTACATTGACCGAACACCCAGCAACTGTCCACTAAAGCGTTTTCCTTGTTTTACATTGACTTTTTTTTTCTAATTTCTTCTCTTTATCTAGTCCATTCCTTGACACCAAAGAAAATTCAAATCCCTTAGCTGAGTCCACAAGTTCTACAGGCTTCATGTCTGCTTCCTGCATGGCCTCATTTTTGCCCACTTTCTCATTCTCTTCAATATGCCCCGATTACAAAACCTACTTTTCTGTGAGAAAAAGATATTTATGTACAAAATTTGAATAAAAAGAATTCACGATAATCAAGGCATCCAAAATTTAGTTATCTATAACTAACATGGACAAGTCAGTCCTCTATTTTGTTGGACTTTTTTTTTTCCATTTGCTAGTACAACAAGAGATTATATATAAATTCTTAAAAAAAAATTACTTTTGAGTTTGTGTTGGTCCTTTTCTCCTGTTACTACAAGAGTGAGTATTAGGCTGGGTAGCAAAGCAAAATATCTGAATGACATAGTGCCAGTCTCCTAAGAGCTCCCTTGGGGGCTCTGCCACAGGGTGACAGATCCCATCACAACAGAGGAAGACAAAGAGGCCAAACAGTGGGCAGTAACAACCTACTTGTAAGAATTATTTTGTTATTCTCCTCCAAGGCCACAGCCTTCTTCAGGGGCCTCGCACTAGGTCTCACTAGCATAAGACCACATCATGCAAGACAAAACGTCCAGCACACCCTGGGGCACAAACCACAACTGGGCTTGCATCATGAAGTAATCTGGCTTTCCTATTGTCTGAAAACCACTGAGTTGTTTTTCATACTGTGTTTGGAGTTCTTTGCATTTCTGCCACCAAAACAAACAAACAAAAAAGTCTATTCATGTCTAAATTTCAATAAAGTTGTTCTGAATTATGCAGCTATTTCCCCTGTCCACTGAAAAATAAATGTTTTTTTTTAACAATGTCTATTTGCCAATTTGAAACAATACAGAGAATACAAAGAACTTTTCTTCACACACAGACTTAAAAGGCATGTGTCAACACTCTTTTCCAAATAATGTACAAAGTAAACAATTTGAATTAAGTTCAAGAAATTCTCATTGCAGAAACACCCCTACTACCAATGCTGAGGGAAAGAAATCCGAAATATGATGCAATAGAAAACTACTAATTTTGAAAAGCAACTAGGGTTAAGAATACTGGAATAGTAAGAAACAAGTTTTTGAAATGAATGCAATAGTGGTATTTTTTCATTTGCAATTCTTCTACAGTAATGAAGAGCTTTAAAGAAATGGAATAAAATAATGGTTAAGAAGTTCAGAAAATGCAAAAAATAAGATTAATGAGGAAAAAGGAAGGCACCAAGAAAATGCAGTGATAGAACCTCTAGAAGGAAAACACTCAAGGAACAAACTCCATGCACCCTAAGAGTACTCAAAAGAGTAGATTTGAGAAAATGCTAAGTCTTATTACTTTACTTAGTAAAATCTATAAAAATAAAATTTTTCAATGTACAGATTAAGTGACTGCTTAGCAATAAAACTGTGCTTTAGAATGCAAACATGAATTCTGGTGCAATGTGGACTAAGTTAGATTTCATCCTGCATTATAAAATGCCAGATAGATACAGCACCACAATTCCACGCATATAAACATGTAAACATAATAGTTCACATTTAAAGATCACTTGTGGCTGTCTGTTTCCATCATTTCATTCGTGTAATTCTTCTACATTTACAGTCTTTCACATTTAAATTTACTAGCTGAAAACTAAAGAAATTAAAAAGTAAATAAGCATATTCACTTAAAGTTTATTTTCCATTTACTTTTAAGTCTACTGTTTGATAATAACTAGCACATCAACATACCAACCTTTTCCCACCAATGGGTCAGCAAAATTAATTATTTTGGCTCCTTCAAAACCATTCCAGTGGCAAATCTGGCAGAAATACGCACATCTTACCCAAACAGTAAGCTCACTATATACTTTGCCTCACTGAACATATGACTCACTACTAACGATAGAGCGGAGGGCAACAGAGCTGTTCTTAAGCTCTTTTTGGACTGATGAAGGGAAGGGCTAAATGAAATTAGACTGACATTCTTTATATCCTTTCCAGCTTATCTTTGGCTGCATACAAGCACTTACAGGCTGGTGAACATCACATCTTCTATAAAGCAAGGTTTTGAGGCTCAAATGTGAGCTTTAAAACTTCAAAATGGCATGCCTAATGAGCAATGCATTCCAATTTACAGCAAAAAAAAAAAAAAGCTAATATCTTTCTTGATGAACCAATCAAGAAGTTAGATGGTTTCCTAAACAAGTTTCATATAAACTCTACATGAAACTTGAAAGGGGCAGTGATGAAACTGACTTCCTGATGGGAATCCTATGAAATGCACTAAAGCAAAATTACCTACATAGCCTTCATAATAACAATATTTTGAATAGGAGGCAAGAATGCAGCATGAGGCTAAATCTGCAACAGCAGCATAAATTTCCTCTCAAAATGATCTTTAGCAACCAAATCCACATCTCCTATCAACATTAGCAGTAAATGTGGGGAACACTGTGAGCCACTCACCATAATGCATGTAACAGTTTCCTTTGGAGGGATCCAGCTCAATGGCCTTCAAGAAGAACTTTTCAGCCTCACTCTTACGACCCTTGAAAAACAGAGAAAATGCATAATTCAGCAACAGTTCATGAGGGGATGTTCACCTCCCGGCCCCAATGAGTAACTAACAGCTGCTGGTAATCATGGAGGAAAAGGGTCCTGTTTTTATCTAAGTAAGCAGGACAGAGGAGATTACACAGAGAAGACAAAAACTAGAAGACCAGAACCTGAGGATGAGTCCATCAAAGACATCCAGAAGGAGGCGGCGCAGAACACAACCACCACCACCACCACCACCACAACCACCACAACAACAAAGCAATAATAGTTTCACCAAAACCAAAAGGATCAGGTGAACATCATCATCCTCAGGAAACATCTTCATCTTCTAACTTATTCTCTCTCTTCTATCATCCTAATTGTCCACTTTACATAGTAGGAAACAAAATTACAATACGTTGAATCTCAAACAGCTACTTGTTTCATTGTTTCTATTATATTGGGCAAAAACTGCTAATCCATGATGTAAAGTGAGACCATTTTCTTTGTTGCATTTGTAAAGTAAAATATTAGCATTCTACTCACAAGAATATAATCAATACATAGGTAGAAACCAAAAAAAAAAGAATTTTCATGAAATAGTATCTTACAAATCAAACAGACTCCAAAACAATACATCCTTTACCTACTGATTGCTTCTGAACCAGAACTGGCTGCAGAGTAACACAAAGCCATGGCCAGGGTAGGAAGCTTTTGGAAGACCCTTTCTGAGTTTTTCCTTTACTGGCATGGGCAGAATAAAGATCTGTGCTGCCTCTGAAGGTCACCAGGGCACTCAATGGTGTCCAGGAGCCAATGTCCTCCATGAAAAAGTAATGATCTTATCTGCTTTCCTTATTCACTCTGTGTAAGTTCAGGCAACACCATCTTCTTCACATTTATCTTTAAAATGATTTTAATGCAGACCTTTATCTTAAACTAAAAAGTGTACCATTAATCTCATGTGCAATATTCTATACAACTCTGACCCATTTCTGCATAGCAGTTTTGTTCATTCATTTGTTAAAAAAAAAATACATCCTTCATGCTCTATTGTTCTGATGGACAGAATCTAACTTGCAGCCTCTCCCATGTACAATTAGTGATAACCAATGGACATGCAATCAATTTCGTTATTGAGTAACAAATATTGTTCCACTCAGTATCTCCTCTTTAGTTTATGTCTTACCACATATGCAAAAATTAAAATTCTAAAATGCCCTACAATATTTCACACAATTCTGTCTCAATAAATCATAAGTAAAATATCTAACACATGTGCTTTCATTTTTTTTTTAACAAGTTCCCCTATTAGACCAGCTACCAGTTACGGATCTCACATGGCCCACTCCCAGTCTTGGCATTTGCAGTCAGATATTGCAGTCTCGTCTGGCTCAATCTGCCCCATTCCCAGTTCTTGCCTGTGATGCTGCAGCATAGCCTTGCCCAGCCCTGTCCTCATTCCTTGCTCTCATGTTAACTGGTAGGTATGATAGTCTAGCCCAGCATGGCCCACGCCCTTTCCTGGCTCCCATGTGTGCCAGTGAATGCTAAGGCTAGGCTTGGCCAGGCCCTGCCCAACTTGTCACCTCCCCTTTGCCCCTAGCCCACACATATGCCAGTGAGTGGTATAGCCTTGCCTGGTCAAACTCACCCCCAGTCTGGCTCTCATGCTCACTAGAGGGAACTGTGAGCCTAGTAGGAGACTGCCCCAAGTTTTCCCAGCAGGCCCGCTCCCACACTTAGGGATATCTCTTATATATTCCAACAGGAGCTAGACTCCTGCCCAGTAAAGTCCAACCCTAGTCCTAAGTCATTGTATGCGCTGGAGGTTGCTGCAGCCCAGCCTGCCCTCACACCCAGTTATTGGGTAAACCTGCAGGTACTGCATCTTGGGCCAGCCCAGCCTGCTCCCAACTGCAGTTTCCATGCATATCAGTTTTGTGATCTTTCCTTGCTTGGCATATCACCTCTGTAGCTCTTGTCCATACCAGGAGGTACTACAGTCCTATAGGGCTGAGAGCACAAATCTCCTACAGAATCTGCCTCCAGTCCTAGTTTTCTTGTGTGCCAATTGTCATGACTCAGATTTGCATGGTCCATCTTCTGCCCTGACACTCACTGGTGAGCACTGTGTCCTAGCTTTGTCAGACACCCCCTCCAGACACAGCTTTTATGTGTGCTGGTGGTAGGCAGGTAATGCTGCCTAGCCCAGGCCAGGTATCCCACTTGGGCAGGTTCATTGGTCTGGCCCAGATATGACCTCCAGTTTCTCCCCTCCTATCCCCTCAGTCTCAGCATCCTTGTTCACCTATGACTGTGCTGACCTAGTCAGTGGCATCCCCCCAAAGTCATTCTACACCTGTAAAGTACTCCCTCTGTTGTATCCCCACCCCAAGCATCCCTGAATCCCTCTTACCCAAGCAATCACAGTCCCCACACTGGCACGAGCACTGGTCTAGGACTTCCAGTGGCAAACCAGCGCCTGAAGCAGAGGGTCTATTCATGTATTTTCATATTGTTATTAAGGATAACAAGAGTCCTAGGCTTTTCTAAATAATTCAATGATGAACGAATCAAGAGACCAACCTATGTGACAGGAGCACAGATTCCAGGTAGGTAAAATAGACGCTGAAGTGTTTAGTTTTGTGACCCTTTCACAATCATTTTGTCTCCTGACTATAATTTTCTCTAGTACAAAAATAAGAGGAAAAGCAGGGCACAAGGGATTCAAGGGCAGTCTAACTACTCCATATCATATGCTAATAACAGATATATTTTATTATACATTTGCCAAACCCCACAGAATATATAATACCAAGAATGACAACAAAATATGGACTTTAACTGAATCACTGATCACATCAAAAGTAAGTTATCTTAAAGAGATCAGAAATTGTTTTGGGGGATGGAAAGTAAGGAAAAATATGGAAACTACATTTTATTCAGTTTTATAAACCTAAAACAGCTGAAAAATCTTATCCAAGGACAGATATTTGGCACAGCAGTTACAAGTGTTAGGGGTGCCCACATTCCACATCCCAGTGCCTGGGTTCAAGTCCCTGCTCTGCTTCCCATCCAGCTGGCTAACAGTGAGAAATCTAGGAAGCAGCAGGTAGATCAAGCAGTCAAGTGCCTGTAGTCCATGCAGACATGAGGACTGGGTTCCACTTCATGGCTTCACTCAGATCCAGCCTTGCTTGCTGGAGCATTTCAAGAGTGAAAACAGTGGGCAGAAGATCACGCGCATGTGTGTGTATGTATATGTGTGAACATGCACACATGCCTTCCTGCCTCTTAAATACATGAACATTTAAAATATAAAGTCTATGAACTTAAAAAGGTAAAAACTAGCTCATCAGATTATTGGATTATTTGAAAAGCATATAAAGCTGCTTCTGTAGTATAAAAGTAAAAGTTTGTAAAAAAAAAGTGAATTATTACACATAGATTTTTAAACATATAAATACACATGTACAAGAGGATGCATAGTGCTGAAGGACAGAGACTGTCTTTCAAAACCATATGGCTATTCTTTAGACCACTGCCGGGAAGTGATACATAAATAACCTGTAGGCAATAACAAAAGAAAGATGCAAACTGTACGTTATCATTGGTGAAGTGTCCATAAAATTATTATATGCCAGGATTAGGGGCTTTGAGCTTTTCTTTGGTTAAGTTTTAAGGACGGAAAAGAATAAATTGGATCATTTATCAATGTCAAAGCAAACTGAGTAGTCACATCCTCTTGTACAATCCATTGGTAAAACAAGCATGAAGTTTTGAAAACACGTGTTGGATCTCAAAAGCCATCAGTGGTTTCTGGCTCTTTGGTGGACAGGTTATAAAATGCCATGAATCTTGGTCTCCTAGCTGTGAAGTGAACATGTGGCATATTCTTCTCAAGGGAATATATCATAAGATCATGCAAAGATCTTCTTCCTGTTTTGACTGCTATTTAGTTACTCAAGCTAAATAATAAAGAGGAAAAGAAAATCCTCAAAATAGTATAGAAAAATAAGAGTGGAGCACATGCATAAGCCAAGTAGACACACACATTACAGGATCTGAGGAATGTCCCGGGATCACTGGAGAGGTGATTTTATTTTTAATCAAACCTACTATTTCTACTCTTATTGTTTCATAGGAGCAGTAGTTAAAGTAGAGGAAAATGTTACCTCTCAGCATAATTTTCCTTGCTGTGTTAGGAATATGTCAGCAGTTTTTACAAACAAGCATTATGGAGTATCCCCCGATTACAGAAAGACCTTATATCAAGCAAAATGGATTCAATAGCCATCTGTATACTGTCTGGATATGGAATGGCTTGGAAACCAAGAAAAAGGGACTCTGGTGAGCATTCCGTACACACATACACACACACCACAGCTCTAGTCAGTCTGATGTCTGGACAGCTCTTCCACTGGCATCAATAAAACATATAAATGTAAGATAAATGTCCAATAAAGTTTATACAGCCTATTCCTCTGAGCAGGATAACTTTTAGCTAATTCGTTTTCTTAGTAAAACTGAATGCTAATGCTGCCATCATTCAGGCACAGAAGCCCAGCTGAGTGAACGTACAAGGCTGTTAGCATTTATTTCAGTGGCTGCCAGAGATCAGCATTTTCCAACAATAAAATCTAACAATATAAAAAAAATTCATGTTTCCCTACACAAAGGAATGCACACATTCCACTAATCACGCACTTTGCAAAGCACACAAGAATATTAAATATAAGAGACAATGAATTCTTGTGGCATCAATAAAATTCATTTCTAAAATGTAAAATGGACACAAACTTTTGTACTTTACTTTTAGTAACAGGCTAAAAGTTGTGGAACACCAAGTTAGGCTGCTGCATGCCATCATGGTGTTCTACATTAGCAAACTGGTTTGAGTCCTAGCTGCTCCATTTCCGATCCAGCTCCCTGCTTGTGCTTTAGGGAAATGAGCATAAGATGGCCCAAATGTGTAGATCCCTGCTACCCCCATGGGAATCTTAGTGG